AAAAAAATCTTGAAAAAATTTTTTATAAATATTTTGAATTTGCAGCACTTTACTGCCTTTTAAAATTCAGCTCTACTATATCAGGTATTTGCTGATTCGATCTAAAATAGAAATACGGTGTTTGACTAAGATGTGCTACGTTATAAGAAAAAGTAGTTGTGGGTGTGCATGTAAGTGTAAGAGTTGGGTGAAGAAAGGAAGTATATCTACATCCACGCCTCATACCGACACTCTACATCCACCGCACCCAAATTGTTCGAAATCATTGTTAAATAGCTGTTTAGATATTTTAAAAAATTGGTAAAAATTAAGACGTTATTATAAATATTGCCTTCTTTTTCACTTAAAACTCAGGATTTGCTTCTCGTTGTTAAGCAAACTAGAAAAAAAAAAGAATTAACGACATGATCGCGTTTTAGCCTACAGTTAGTCGGAGAATCTAGACGCCATTTGCAAAATTATCGAGCGTCTACAATTTTATATTATCATTCCCAAAATTTTATGACCACACCCATACCCACATCCAACTTCATTCGAGATCATTTCGTTCAGTTATAGCATTCAATTTCAGAAGTAATATTTATTTGTCAATACGGAAAATCTGAAATAAGCTTTTAGATAATGATGTTGCCCGAAAAGATTTTCTTTTCTTTGAAATAGCTAGACAAAAAATCTTTTCTTATCATTTTCACTTATCTTCATAAATATTTAAAGTAATTACTTGTACTTGATCTCCGTCAAAATGTCATTTAGTTTGACTTTGAATCATCATTTAAATTACTCATTATTATTTCAAAATCTTTAAAAAGAGCATGTAAACAATTTAAAACGAATAAATCTTATGTTTACTGTGTACCAACAAAATGTAGAGGCTTCAATAAAACAAGTATCCATACTAGTTGAATGAAATGAATAACAATTGGAATTTTTGCTGCATAACTAAGTGTAAGTGATGAAAACACTGGATAAAAACACGTTTTGAATGATTGAAATAGCTATATGATCGAATGGTGCGATATTGATTTGATTTTTATATATCTATCATGACCTGCAATAGCCAATTCATGATGAATACTTTTCATAAGACAAATAAGGCTAAATGCAGCCGTATATAAAGTAGAAAAATATTCTAAATGTAATATAGGTGTCGAGCCTAACATGATTATTATACATACATAATTATCTTTCATCATCGATGAAGGCAGCCATAATTTATATATTTAACTAATCAATATTTATCATCTACTGAACGTACTCCATATAAAATTGAATTTGGTGTTACTACAGTAGTTAAAAATAGTCAAATATTCGTTTACAGTATTTTAACTTTACCAAAATTTACAGACCATTACTAACTAGTATGTTGTTACCAATTACTTCAGTCTAAAACTTTTTTTCTCAGGCTGTTCTATTTCAGCTTAACTATTTATATTACATGTATCAGAATATACATGTTACGCATGATTTTGAGGGCCATATCGACAAAATTGACCTAAATAAATACGAAAATTAATCTCATGAAAGAATTTCTAATACTTCCTTTAGTTAATCCCCTACCAGAGCTACTTATGAATACAATATCATCTTGAATATTTTTTTCTATTGTTGAAAACATATAATGACTAACAATCTGTATAATAGCATGCACTATTTCATTAATGAAGACTAAATAATACTTAAATAGTGTTACGTAAAACCATATTAATTATTTCAACCATTTCTATTGAAAGATAATTATGTCAAGACAGTGAAGATGAAGTTCAAATCTAGTTGAAAAGATAATTAGGCTTGAAATCATCTCGAATTCTGAATTATTTTGCTTATTTAGAATTTCAATACAGATTTGTATTGCCTTTAAGAAAGTGTTATGATTTTTAAAGATGAGCAATAGTATTTCGTTCTATTAAAACGTCAAATTAATGTCATATTTCACTGAGAAAAAATGAAATTTTTTTTTAATGAAAGGACGTTCTACAAAAGCTAGCTCGACACTTTAAACTAAATATTTCAAGTTGATTTTTCACTCACTTTTTCCGAATTGTATACAAAAATGTCGTATCTCGAATGAGTACCTTTCCCAATCGATCTAATTCTGATACAGATTCCACTTTCTCACAAACTCGGTCAACGTAGGAGACATAAAATTAACGAAAATAATTCGTAATGATTATGATTGGTTCAAGTGATATTATATTTCACGAATAGAATTATCTACCAATGACGATAACAACGATCTCAAGTTTTCAATAAAGTGTATTCATTTGTACATCCAACAATAGAAACTTTCAATAAATTTTCCTACTTATTTGATTGGCACTCAACTTCATTTTACATAATTGTACAAGTAAAAATTTGGATTTCATTGTTGACTAAATTGAAGCAATTATTTTATTGATTTTAAAATAAACATAATTAAAATGAATTTCTCTGTGATATTTTATGCGCAATATAAATCAATTATTTTTTACAATATTGTTAAATTATTCTTGAGTTTTTTTCCTCATATATTCAAACACGAATAAAAGAAATTTTGTTTCTTTTTATTCATTGATTTACACCGAATGAGTCATATTTGCTTGAAAAGAATGAGTCATCATAAATTTATTCTTTCTGTCATACGTCTCTCATTCATTCATCGCCGTATTTTGCCGTGTAACGATGTATATAAACGGCGTGAATCGAAATAAACAGACTCATACTTACTTTCCTCTGATTGTCTCAGTGATCATCAATACTGAGCATCCAGGACGAGGTTTCGGCATTGCACTAAGCTGTAAACTAAATCCTGCTTTCGCTCCACATCGGGGCGAAGAGAGAGGTTAATTTGTTAGCAGTGTCTCTGCGTTCGCGCTCAGACCGTTTATTAGGTCAAGAAAAAAAAGTAAAATTCATGTAAAATTTATTTTCAACTCAGCAGGACTTTATTTCATCGATGTAATTGTCATTTTTCTTTCTTGTTTTTTTTTCTTCACATCATGACAACAACAACACTAGTAAATGCTGCCGAAACTTCTCCTGTTTCACCATCTTTATTCAATATTCAGTATCCTAATTGTCGTAGAGGCATGTTTAGTCTTCGTGAGCCATTTCAAAATGTAAAAACAGAGTTTGTTCCTACTGAAAAAAAACAATTATTCAATGAAACTTTAACAACAACAGGTCTACAACCAACTAATTTCAATGCTAATCAAGGTTATTATTTATTTTTTCTCTTATTTGAATTATTGATTTGTATTTTAGTGCCATTAATACACGAAAAACCTATTGAACCTGTATCTATACCACCTCGAAAATTATCAAAACGAAATGCTGAAGTTCAATGTTCACTTTTAAAGCCAACTGTTTACCATGATATGGCTGTTCAAACAAAAACTCAACGACAACCAATTGCAGTAAATGATTTCAATGATAATAACGATATCAGCCCTCGATATCGGCGACAAAAAAAATTACAACCCATTGAACAACCGCAAAAAATTTATGAAATTTGGGATATCGAATCGCCGTCCTTACGAACAATACCAATAAAGCAAACAAGAAGACCTGAAGAACAACAAATAAGATATGTCAAAACTAGAAAACCAATCATAGATTATGATGATGATGATAATGATGATGACGAAGGAGAATTCGATGATGATGATGAAGAACGAATTATATATGCACGTCAACCTCGACAAACAAATAAAAAATCATATTTACCACCAAATGTACGCATGATATGTGTTCGAGAAGACACAAAAAGAGTTTTTTAATTAACAAAAATTTTTTGTAAAAAAATTATTTTACAGGTGATTCTTTTTTTCTATGTGTAGTTATCTCATTCTCAGAAAACAATTGCAAGAGAAGTTAGATTCATGTTCGTGGATTTTAAGAGTTAAATTGCTTTTTCATTAATAAATGCATTGTCTATAAATTACCAAAGTTTAATATTTTTAAAAAGTAAAAGATTGTT